GATAAAAACCAATATTTCCTATGTTTTCCACCTATTGAAGGAAATCACCCCTCCATCGATATTAACATTTTTTTGGAATGAGATCTCCGGGTTATGATTTTTTTTTTGCGATTCTTTTCAATTGTGACCTCTCCTTCCACTCCGGCTCCTTCTCGCATAAACACCTCCATCACAACCAGGTGACACCACCCCAGACCTCCTGCCTCTCCACACATTCTCCGCCACCTCCTTCTCATACTCCATTAACAATCCCTCTGCCACATTTGTCCACGGCGGTGTCGAGGGCATGGCGCAGCAGCGTACCAGCGGTAGAGCAGCGCATAGCAGCAGGAAGCAGCACGCAGCAGGCGAGGCGAGCAGCCGACGGTGGAGGGCAGAGATGCGGACGGCGTGGCTGAGGGGGCGGCCGGCAGAAGATGGCCACGACTGGAGGCGACGCGAGGCAGGGGCGCGACAGCGGGGCGAGCAAAGAGATAGGCGGCAGCAGATGGGGCGAGCGCAGCCAGCGAGAGTGTGGCGCGCGGCCAGGGTGTGTGTCGTGCGGGGCACAGTGGTGCGGTGGCTGTGGCGAGCGCGACAGCAGCGGCGGACGCGACCGACGCAGTGTAGCACGGGCGTGGGCATGGAGAGGGAGTGGCCCCGCGGGTGCGGAAGAAGAGCGGCAGGCTCATGCATGGGCGTGCATAGGAGTGGGCATGTGCCACGGGGTCAATCTGATGAGCTCGGTGGTTACCCCTGCAATGGCCATGGTGGACGGCGGTTCTCGGCCACGGCGAAATACCTAATGAGAGCAAACGAGAGGGGAAACAGGGGAAAGGCAAGAGGAGATCATGGCGGTGTCAATGGCGCCCTAGGGGAAGACATGGGAGCTCGGGGCGGCGCGGATCAAACGACAATGTCACGGTGGCCCAAGGTTGAGGAAGACGGCAGCGACGTCGGTGCGGGGGTGCTAGACTTGATCTTGTTGGCGCAGACGGAGTAGCAAAGGCGTTCGGAGCTCCTCGACAAGCTCCTAGCCCGCAGGGAGGGCAGTGGCCGTGTGGACGGGCTCGGTCATGTTGGCCGTGGCGTCTGACTTCGTCCAGATCGACGGGATCGAGCGAGCGAGGAGGAGAAGTGGATTTGGGAGGGGGCATCGAGGAGGAGTGAGGCCATGGGGGCAGGGAAGGCAGGGCGTCACCCTTATCCATTCCCCTTCGATGCCAGCGACGTGGTCGGGCGGGAGCCCGGCTCTGTAGCGACGCGGCTCGAGGAACAGGAGAAGACGACCGCGCGGGGACTGGACCGTTGAGCCGGTTCGGTGGCAAGGCCCCGGGGGCAGGGTGAATCCCCTTTTATATCGTCCTTTTGGTTTTTCAATGTATTCTAATCTGTTTCTCCTTTTTAACAGTGTTTTCTATTTATTCTTATCAACTAAATGGTCTCTACTCCTAATGTCTTAGTTGGTAGTCTCCATTTTGGATTTATTTTTGTCCTCCCTCCCACCTCCCAATTTCTTGTAGGTGCTTCTCAAGCTGGAGGACAACATATTAGTCAAGACATTAGGGATCCTCATTGATGTTTTATCTCTCGTCTACACTTATTTTGTTTGCTCCAATTCTATATATTCTCACAAGTAGATGAGGTGTAAGCATGTGCAATGTAGTTTCTTTTTCTACATATGGTGATTGATTTGTTCTTTGGTAACCCAACTAACAGATGGTAATCAATCTTCAAATACCAAAACCAAACGTACAAGGCAACAATCAATTCACGTATCACAATCAGATTCTTCTTTAGTACCCAGCTTAACTCACGGATTGTAATCAATCTCCAAACAAAAGAAACAATCACCATCGTTTACCTCTCGCCAATATTACATAAAAATAACGCTGAAAATTTAGATGTATTGTTTGTCATTGAGCTGTGGCTGGCCGATTACATGAAATTAATTCCCTCAGTTGTGGTGGCAAATATAATACACATAATCCATATTGTTATGTACTAGCGCGTGTGCGTGTGAAATAGATGGATTATGGTCCCGTGCCCAATAAGATGGATATGTGTGTGTGTTAGAGAGAGAGAGAGGGAGAGGGGGAGAGAGAGTGAGGAAGAGGGAGGGAGAGGGTGTGTGTGTGAGAATTTGATAGTAAAAAAGGTCTTCAATGTCACTTAATATGTATGAGAATATTAAATGTAATATTAACATAATTGATGTTGAATTCTTAAAGTTAATGTGGCTCCGTTGCAACGCACGGACGTTCTTCTAGTAAATACTAGAAAATATATAACATGTGGTCCTGTTGTATGACATCAGAAATGAGCAATGTTAGTTTTTTAAGAGAAATATTTGTAAGGGCATTTCTTGTCAAGTATCTCATGAAATTGAATCTTTGTGACCACATGATACATCATTTAACACTCTGAACCTTCGTGTGCATATATAGTTGAGGACCAATCGAGTGTGCAAGTTCTCTCTCTC